TATATATATAGGGTATTTCATTTCCCAATACTGTATCGATTCTCTAAAGCCCTGTATCGATTTTTAATTAAGGTTTAAAACATTAACTTTTCTTCCAACGGTTCATTTTTATGTTGTAATTCAGCCTCTCACCGCTAGGTGGCAGCAGTGAGTCAGCCATTTGGCTCCTCTACTCCTAAGGAGCCAGAGAGTAAGTGTAGCATTAGCATGGTGCGTAAACATTAGCATGGTGCGTAAACATTAGCATGGTGCGTAAACATTAGCATCATGCTCCAATAGCAGAACAGATCGACGCCCTCTGCCTTCTAAGCTGAGGTAAGGTTACCAACAGTTACTTATTAGTCAGAATGTCTGTATTTTAAGCCAGTTTTAAGAAGTGTCTCATCCGGGCGCTCATTTTCCGACTGTAGTCAGCTGTCACGTTATGGAAGACAGGCAGGCATGCGTCTAGCGCGTCGAGCTTAGGGGGTCCCAGACGGACGGTGTTGTGTGAAATTCAGTTCCCCGTTCCTCGAGTCTGGAGGGCACAATGCAGCCAGAGAGGCGGATCCGACCATTTTCACAGCGCTTCTGATCAATTTCTCGGTAAAAGGACTCATATAATCTTGTCAAGGTTGTAACTTTCAGTTTAATCATCAGCTGCTGTTAAAAAAAACATACATACTCTAAAACAAATAAATCAACTTGGCCTTATTTTTTTTAAATCACAAAGAGAATCAGTCCTCATCAGTCCTTTTCCAACTTTTCTCATGTTCTCTTTAGCCTCACTGTTTATCAGTCAGCCACCAAACATTGTCTTCCAGCACATTTATTTATATCAACAATGTTTATATATTATTTTATTTATTTATATTTTTTATTGCTGATACAAGAACCAAATATTTCAGTTGTTTAAAATAATCTGTTCCCCCTCTGTAACATGGGAACAAAATAATTTACCTCCAAGTTTTTAACTGTGTTAATTCCTCATCATAAACAACGCATTCTGAAGATTTGAGAAAATTTGTTCTTTATTGTCCAAAGTTACCTGATGGAACCAAATGGCTTGTAAGCTACAGTTTGCACTGTTTCAATTAAAGAAAACTAATTTTCTCACCGCATCTTTGATTAATTTTGTCCAACTGTAGACTCTGTCCAATCAGAGCAGGTATTGTGTAGTTGGTGCTTTTAATCAGTTTTCAGTTCAATTAATTCAATCCAAGTCTATGGAACAGTCCCAAAATGTCACCAAAATCACTCTGTCCCTCTAAAATCATTCAGAAAATTGAATCGTTTTGAATCGTATCGTTGGCTGAATATCGTGATATATATTGTATCATGAGCAGAATAACAAATATCGTATCGTGAGATTAGTGTGTCGCTACAGCCCTAGTTCAGCATGCCCACAGTCCTATCAGACAGAGGAAAAACAGACATTTCTGGAATCATAGTGCGTTCCATTTACATCGTATTCAGGAACTGGTAACTGGTAGTGATGTCATTTCTCAACAAACCATTTGAAACTGCATTCCAGTTAGCTGACAGGTGATTGTATTACTGCTGCTAATCTAACTACAATACAGCTACAATATAAATGACAAAAAGAGAGCTCTAATACAGATGTCATGCAAATAAACATTGATTTTAACACGTACAGCACTGCACAGAAAACATACTTGTGCGAGTGATTAAACATGCACAAAAAACGTTAAAGATAATTAACAGTAAAAGTTACAGAGTTAACTTTCTAAAGCTGCGAGTAGCCGCCATCTTGAAATCAAAACTGGGGTCAGTTTCATTTCTTCCACTACACCAGTGGAATATTACCACTGGAGGGGGCGTTCCAGTTTAAATCTACCAATGGGAACTGGGAAATTCCCACTTCCCAGAACTACTGGAACGCACCGTCAGAACCACAAGTCCCTTTAACATCATACATTCATCTTTACCCACTTCTCCTTTCCAGGTCACAGCTGCCTACCTCCTGCTGTCACTGTGCAAGAGACAAGAGACACATTGGACAGGTCTCCAGTCCATTACAGGGACACCCAGAGACAAACAAGACAACCACTCAATCTGGCTCACTCCAAGGGATCATTTAGAACTGCCAATCAACTGCCAATCAACGTAACATATGTCTTTGGTTTGTGGGTGAAAATCCACATGTGCAAGGGCCAAACCTGTAAAGCCCAGACAGAACACCTGTGTCAGTACGACTCATTTAACACCATTTGTACGTGACTCTGAGATGATCCATCTGTGGTTCTGATCCATCCAACATGGATCAGCTTTCCCATTTAATAATTCCTTAATTTAAACAGATAAGATTCTTGTACAATCCTCCTAAAAGTCCTCTGTGTCAGATCAAGATAAACCAGATTCTGATACAGAATAACAACAACAACAACAATAATAATCTTTACAAAGTAGTAAGGGTAGCGCCTCCTCTTGGTCTTTCATGATGATGATCCTTGCTCTGTGCAGGGGTCTATGGCTACATGACCCGGGGGCACCTGTTCTCCTACGTTTGTTATGTTCTGTCTTCTTGTGAATGGGTGTTCTGAACTGTAATGTCACTGTGCTCTGTATAATGACAGTAAAGGTTATTCAATTCAATTCAAAGTGCCCTTCAGGACACCCAAAGACACTTGGAACACAGCAGGAAACATCCGATAAGACTGTGTGAGAACAAATCCACTGCAAAGACTAAATATTTAGTTCTTCTCAGAATAAGTTTAAATGTTCTAAATGTTTAAAGCCACTGACAACAAACCAGAAACACCTTGAATTCCCAACCAGTTCAGGTCCAATCAGATTACAGCCTGAATTCTAACCCATTCCTTGTCTAATCAGAACCTCAACATGTCTGGCCCATTCCTGGCCAGATCAGAACCACAGTCTGCAATCTGACCCAGACTAGTCCAGAAACCAAAGGCTTCTCAGAGCTGAATCTAAACTTCCAGTGGACTGTGGACAGCACATTGGCTCAGGGAGCTGTCAATCAAAAGCTAAGATCATCTCTGTATGGAGAGCGTTTCAGTGGAAAGCAGCCCTGGTAGGATGAAGGTGTGTTTGTTCTCACATTCAGCTCTTCCAGTCGGTCAATGGTGTTTTTGGCGTCCAGTAGTTTGTTGGCCAGCTCCACGATCTCCTGGTCCATCGTCTTTTTGTCCCTCTCCACCTTCCGTAGCTGTGGGCGGGGCACAGATGTCATGTTAGAGCAAATCTGGAGTCTGAGCTGATAATGGGCAGAGCTACATTCAGATCATGTGGGAATAAACCAACTCCACTGTCAGAACCAGAACCCTCCCAGTCTCCAGTTTTCCCAGATCATTTGAATGCTGCATTAGCGAGCAGCACTGCACAGATGCTTCATGAGATGTAAGAGGAGCTGCAGCTACATGAAGATCAATCACATCTGATAGGATCTTCAAAGCATAGAAGCTGTATTTGTTTAATTATTCATTTCTGCCAAAGCTAGAATGATAAGTTAGAATGAGTGCAACAAGCCTGCAGTCAGAAGTGCAAGAATAAGTCAATTATATAAAGTCCATCAGACACTGTTTGCAAATCCCATGTCACTGATGAAGAACAGTGGGTGGAGCATGTTCAAGTCACAGATTCTAAACAGCACAAACATTTTGTTTTAGGTAGCTTAACCTTAAAAAAATAATAATTTCAGATAATCATTTGAGTTTTTTGTTTCTGAGCCCAGTTTGAGATAAATGGACCAACTGATCCAGGTCAGAACTGGGATAAAGAACTAAAACTACAGTTAGGTCCATATCTATTTGGACGTTGACGTTTATTTATTTTTTTGTATTTTCCCCTTTTTAATACCCGTTTACTAAAACATAAATTATAGTTGGATAACTGACATGGTCATAAAGCACAGACTTTCAGCTTTCATTTGAGGATATTTACATTAAAAATGGATGACGGGTTTAGGAGTTCAGCACCTTAACATGTGTTCACCCTGTTTTAAAATGGGACAAAAGTAATAAGACAATTGATTCAAAGGCTATTTTATAGGCAGCTGTGAACAATCCCTTCGTTATGTCATTCTAAATGAAGCAGATCAAAGGTCTGGAGTTGATTTGAGGTGTGCTGCATTTGAAGGTTTTGCTGTGAAGTAAACATGAGGTCAAAGGAGCTCTCCATGCATGTGAAACAAGACATCCTTAAGGTGCGAAAACGGAAAAAATGCTTCGATAATATTTTCCCACAGGGATAGTCCTGGTCCTCGAGGGCTGTACCCCTGCAAGTTTTACCTTTCTCCCCTCCTCTAACACCTGATTCAGTCAGTGAATTACCTCTTCCACGTTCTGCAGAAGACTGATAATCATCCATTCATTCAGATCAGGTGTCAGAGAAGAGAAATAAGTAAAACATGCAGGGCTGTCCCTCGAGGACCAGGATTGACTATCCCTGTTCGATAATACTAGGAGTGGTAAAACCTACAGTTTGGTCCATCCTGAGAAAGAATGAAAGCACTGGTGAACTCATCAATGTAAAAAGACCTGGGTGTCCACAGAAGACCACAGTGGTGGATGATGGCAGAATAATCTCCATGGTGAACAGAAAGCCCTTCACAACAGCCAACCAAGTGAACAACCCTCTGCAGGAGGTAGAAGTATCAACATCCAAATCTACCATAAAGACAAGACTGCATGAAAGTAAATCCAGAGGCTTCACTGCACGCTGCAAGACACTCAGCATCAAGAATAAAAAGGCTGGACTGGACTTTGATAAAAAACCTGTAAAAAGGCAGCAGAGTTCTGGAAGAACATTCTTTGGACAGATGAAACAAGATCAACCTCTGCCAGAATGATGGAAAGAGAAAAGTCTGGTGAAGGCCTGGTCCAGCTTGTTCTTGGACATCATGCAGTCTTGTCTTTATGGTAGATTTGGATATTGATACTCCAACCTCCTGGAGAGTGTTGTTCACTTGGTTGGCTGTTGTGAAGGGGTTTCTCTAAACCCTTCATCCAATTTTAATGTGATACCCTGAAATGAAAGCTGAAAGTCCTTTATATAACTTCCGTATAACATGAATATGTTTCAGTAAGCAGGTTAAATAAAGAAGCGTGTCAGTGTTCAAATTGATGGACATTAATGTAGTTCTGATAAAGTACCATCCTCTGTCAAAACTTTTGAGGAACTCCTTTATTATACCAACGTAATCAGTGACTTTGTTTTGTTTTGGTCAAAAAGTTGTTAGGAGGACAGAGATTTTTCCAGTCCACTGCTCGCTCTATCCATTTTTTTATTGTTTATTTTATTATTTTTTAGACAGTACTTTTGTGCTAGTGACTTCAAGTCCCACCCACCCCCCAATGGTCACAGGTAAGTGACCAATAGATTTTAAACCCCTTCACCCAACCCTGATCTGAGGGATTGGTGGCACGTCCGTACTAATCAAAAACAGAGGTTTAGATACGTTTATAATACCACGACCTTTGTGGGGGGGCGAGTGGTGCTGTCAGTGGGGTGGGACACCCCCCACATCATATAATGCAGGGGCATGGAGAAGAACGACACTGAGAAACACCTGATAATCCAGAACAAGTTGCTTCTAAATGACTCCATGTTTACCCTGCCTCACTGCTCGTCTTTCCTGAAACTCTTCAGGTTCTGGTTCAGGTTACAACAGAACCAGGTTCTGATTTGTCAGATGAGCAGTGTGTTGGTTTGTTGATCTTGATCTGAACAGTCTCATCTACCATATCAAAGAGGTAAAACCTGCTTAATGACACCAAGTCTGAACATCAGGTCCAAACATCACCACGTTGGTTAAAGCTTCGACCCAGAATTAGAAGAACCAGCACCAACATCTAACTGAATGTGACAGTAAAATAATATTAAGTAATCAAAAAGAAAAAAAAGTAGGTCCTCTGGATGGGTTCTTCTTTAGTGAAACGTTTCGTCTTATGGGAAGTAACTTTGTTTCTTTATTATTCAATCAAACAAAAAGCATCTTCTAACAAAACAAAAAAACTACCAAAATGTTTTTGCAAAACAGAAACTTTTGGTCGAATCTCAAACTTTTGGTTGACTCTTAAGTTTTTGCTTGAACTCAAAAAACAAACTTGGTGGTGCAGAGAGTAGAGAAGTCTGTGATCAGAAGGTCAGTGACACGCAGGTTCGACTCCAGGTTGCCCCATTTCATAATCTTTCTATAAAGACCCCATTTGGGGCCTTGAGCAAGGCCCTTCACCCCTCAGCTGCTCCCCGGGCGCTGTAATTGGCAGTCTGGCACTGCTCCACATGTGTGTTCACATGTATGATAGGTTAAATGCAGAGACTTAATTTCCCCACCAGGGGATCAATACAGATAAACATCTGAGGTGGGATCTAGGGAGCGACTATGTAAGAGTGTACTCAGGTGATTTCCTGCTGTCCCTCCTTCATGTTTGAACTTCGACCCCAGCGCATGGAGGTCTTTATACAAAGATTATTAAGTGGGGCAACCTGGAGTCGAACCTGCGTATCACCGACCTTCTGATCACAGACTTGTCTACTCTCTGCGCCACCAACTTTGTTTTTGGAGTTCAACCAAAAACTTAGACTCAACCAAAAGTTTGAGATTCGACCAAAAGTTTGTTTTGCAAAAAAGTTGTATTTTTTAATTGAAATAGCTTTTTTTGTTTGGTTGAAAGAAAATTTTGATTGAATTTTTTTTGTTTGAAGATGCTTTTTGTTTGAAGAAACAAAGTTACCTCCATATCGTCTCTCCTCCAAGAGACTTCTTCAGTCTGAGTTTCAGGTGAACTCAGCCTTAAAAGCTCCGCCTCCACATGGACAAACAGGTTAGTCACATGCAAATGAGGACCATCGACTAACAACAGGCTTGATTAGCTCTATTGTTCATAGAGGGTCATGTGACCCATCACCTGACTTATTGGTTTGGATGCTGTGGTTATTTGGTGTTTTGTTATGTGAATGTAGTGAATGCAGGCGGGGGTTCAACGTTCCCTTGTTTTTGTCTCTCTCTCCCTCTTTGTGTTGGTATCATTGGGGCCCTGATTCACACCTTTTGCTCACAGGGGGCGGAGTCATACTTGCAATGACAGCGTTGTAGGAGGAGGACAACTGAACTTTTGTTTCATTAAAGAAGAACCCATCCAGAGGACCTACTTATTTTTTTCTTTTTGATTTTTTCTACCTGGATTACTGAGATGCATCAGAACAAATATTAAGTAATGAGTCAAAAATCAAATAATCTGGAGTTTAAAAGGTTTCTGGATGTGGCGACCCGATGTTCAAACTCTCAGAAAACAGAAGACAAGTGAGGCAGAGGATGAAGGGATGAAGGTGAATGAAACCCAACTGCATGGACCCATGTCTGACTGACGGCAGCCTGAGGAAGATGATGATGAAGATGATCCATCAGAGAGCAGCGTGAGAAAAGAAAGAAGAGATGAAGACAGACAGTGAGACCAACAGGAAGGTTTCATCAGGAACACCTGCAGACCAGGATCAAGGACTCTCCACAGAACTGAACCACTGACAGGCTCAAAGGAAAAATGCTTCAAATGTTTTTTTAACCAAAAACTGCTTCAGTCCAGTAAGTCTAGTTTTTAATATCAGAGCAAACTGATTTAAAGGTTCAGTTTCACTTTGCTAATACAAAAAATTTATTGTGTTTTTTTTTGATTCAACTCTAACAGTTCTGGGTTTGAGTCAGATCCCAGAGCCCACAGGTGTTCCTGAACATTATTAGTTCAAGAATAAAAACTTGACTAAAATAAAAACACACTGTGGACAATGACAAGTAAACATTTGAACACAAGTTGGGTTTTTCCACTTTGTTTTTTTAACAGAAACAGGTTATTAAAGTTTTTGCTTTTACAGACAAAAAAAGGAAAAAAAATACAATTTACAGAAAGCTCCTCATATTTTACTGATTTACCAGAACTGCTCAGATTAGTTTTATTATTTATTGTTTAATTTTACTAAATTTTATTCCTTTATTCAAGGAGATTATGTATGTGTGTGTGTGTGTGTGTGTGTGTGT